TTTAGATATGTGTACATAATCTATATATTTATGTGGTGTGCTATCTATTTTCCAATCAAATCTTGCGATCGAAATTTCTGGCACTTCCCAGTTAGCTAGCGCGCTGAAATTTTCAGGGAAGCTTTCTTTTGGATGACCATTGAATATTCAATTGTTATTATTACTAAATTGATCAATGGAAACATTTTATTGAGCATTTTAGACCGCTATATAATCTATATATATAATCCTCTGCTAGCCATTAGAAAAAAAACCAGCGACGCGTACCTCGCGCGCAGTGAAGCGAACGATCACATGTCGCCACAGGCTTAGGGGCAGAGAATTTAGCTTGAACCGAGTTTAAACTTACAGGAGGTAGGCCAGTTTGGGGGAGACGATATGGTCGAGTGGTTGGGCACACGATTGCTATCCCACTCGACACGGGTTCAAATCTATGTGTTCTAGTCAGTAACGTATTCAAACAACGTGTTTTTTACGAGTTGTCTTTTTACGAGTTGTCTTTTTACGAGTTGTCTTTTTACGAGTTGTCTTTTTACGAGTTGTCTTTTTACGAGTTGTCTTTTTACGAGTTGTCTTTTTACGAGTTGTCTTCGTTTACCCAAAAAAAGTGAAAAGATAAAATCGATAGCAAGATTTTAATGCAAACAAACAGACAAAGACTAAAAAGTAGAAAATAATAATCATTAAAAAAGTTTAAAAAAACCCACGTTTTCTGATTGAACTAAAAAGTAGAAAATAAATGCTATAGGCCCTACATCACAATAATGCAAGCGATCACTCTACTATAAGCGAGCAAAAACGTGGGGCGCCGTGATTTTCTTACAGTTTCTAATACTGTTGACTCTCTACAAGCTCCCTAATAAAAGTCAATAGTATTATCTAATCAATAGTAATATAACTTTTACTTCGGCGCCCCACGTTTTTCATCGCTTATAGTAGAGTGATCGCTTGCATTATTGTGATGTAGGGCCTATAGCATTTATTTTCTACTTTTTAGTTCAATCAGAAAACGTGGGTTTTTTAAAACTTTTTTAATGATTATTATTTTGGATAAAGTCTATACCTATTGGCCTTAGACTACATATCTATAAATGTCTTTTTCCACATATCTATGTGGGTCTATTTTCACATATTTATAAAATGGTCTGTCCATATATCTATGGTGGTCTATCTCTACATATCTATGTGGGTCTATGTCCATCTATGGGGTCTATTGTCCACATATATATGGGGGCCTATGTCCATATCTGTGGTGTCTACAATCGACATATGATTTAGATCAAATAGTTCCGAGCTTCATATGGGTTTCACTGTATATGTGTCTACGTACGTCAAGAGGTCAATGTGACAGCAGTTTATAATATGTGTGACATAAAGATTAGCTGAAGGGTCAAGCGTATGAGTTATGTGTGTGTGAGGGGAGAGAAGGTAGGGGTGGGGAGGACATATCGAGTTTTCTAATTACTCACCGTCACCTTCCTTAACCTTCCAAGCCCATGACCTATCTGACCTACCCCTAGCCCTAAGACCTCCCCCCTACCCCCCCCCCCCCCCGCCTAGAGAATGGCAATCTGTGGCCTCCACTATCAATCATTGTTTACATTGAGCATGGGTGAGTCCTCGCTCTCTACCCACAAACCACGTGACACAAGTTTACATTGAGCATGGGTGAGTCGGTTGTGTCCTCGCTCTCTACTCACAAACCACGTGACACAAGTGTTGACATGCTCGACATCACGTGATAGGAAGACTCGTGCACATTAGTCAATGAAATCGCCTGTTTAATTAAGCGGTTAAAAAAAACTAGAATAATGCATTTTAATAAATAAACTGTTGGTGAAAAAGCATATTTGAATGAATGATTAATTGTTTTTTTTATTTCCTAAAATTAATTAATTATAAGTGATCCCGCTGGAAAAGATAAGAAAATCATCACAATGTCTGTTTGAACATTGTTTGTGCTTTTAGTAATTTGAAAAATGGATTTTCCTATGTTGTTAGTAAAGCCTCACAAGTTTTGCCATGATTTTATTTTTACTGCATGATTCATCTGTCACGAGATCTAGAGTAAAATAAAAGTCTGCAACAAACATTTAAGCCATATATTTTTGTTTGTTTGTTGGCTAAACTTACCTCCGGTTAGCTCATCACTAGCTGATTGGTTTTATCACTTTAAAACATTTTTGTATTCGTTTTTATCTGAGCACATTATAGATGTTGCGAGCATCGTTTTAATCACCCCCCCAATTATTGCAATCACCACAATCACATAATTTCAATCACCCTCAATCATTGCCATCAACACACTCAAATTCATTTTAATCTCCTCTCTCCCCCCACCCTCCTTCAAAGTATAGATGTATTGTTGAACACGATATAAAGTGATGAACTCTCGTGTGTGTGTCGTGTGTATGATGTGTGTGTGTGTGATGTGTGTGACGTGTGTGTGATGTGTGTGTGATGTGTGTGTGTGTGATGTGTGTGTGTGTGATGTGTGTGTGATGTGTGATGTGTGATGTGTGTGATGTGTGTGATGTGTGTGATGTGCGTGTGTGATGTGTGTGATGTGTGTGTGTGATGTGTGTGTGTGTGATGTGTGTGTGTGTGTGATGTGTGATATGTGATGTATGTGATGTATGTGATGTGTGTGATGTGTGTGTGATGTGTGATGTGTGTGTGTGTGATGTGTGATGTGTGATGTGTGTGTGTGTGATGTGTGTGTTATGTGTGTGATGTGTGTGTGTGATGTGTGTGATATGTGTGTGATGTGTGTGTGATGTGTGTGTGTGAGGTGTGTGATGTGTGTCGTGTATGTGATGTGTGTGTGTGTGATGTGTGTGATGTGTGTGTGTGATGTGTGTGTGATGTGTGATGTGTGTGATGTGTGTGATATGTGTGTGATGTGTGTGTGATATGTGTGTGTGATGTGTGTGATGTGTGTCGTGTGTGTGATGTGTGTGTGTGTGATGTGTGCGATGTGTGTGTGTGTGATGTGTGATGTGTGATGTGTGTGTGTGTGATGTGTGTGTGTGTGATGTGTGTGATGTGTGTGTGTGATGTGTGTGATGTGTGTGTGATGTGTGATGTGTGTGTGTGATGTGTGTGATGTGTGTGTGATGTGTGTGATGTGTGATGTGTGTGTGTGATGTGTGTGATGTGTGTGATGTGTGTGATGCGTGTGTGTGATGTGTGTGATGTGTGTGTGATGTGTGATGTGTGTGTGTGATGTGTGTGATGTGTGTGTGATGTGTGTGTGTGTGATGTGTGTGTGTGATGTGTGTGATGTGTGATGTGTGTGTGATGTGTGTGATGTGTGTGATGTGTGTGTGTGATGTGTGTGATGTGTGTGTGATGTGTGATGTGTGTGTGCGATGTGTGTGATGTGTGTGATGTGTGTGATGTGTGTGTGTGATGTGTGTGATGTGTGCGTGATGTGTGTGTGTGTGATATAAAGAGTTTATAAAAGTACAGTGACAAGTCCAACTTAAGCCCAGCTCAACCTAACATGATACAAGAATATTCTTAAATAACCAATAACACATAGGTCCATCTACCCAGAGACTGGTAGAAATTAGACCATAACGCCAAATATCATTAGTGTCGGCGAAATTGTTCTAGAAAAAATTTGTCGTGAAATAAAATGTCTAGGAGATGATAAAAAAAACGGCAAGTACTTTCCGCAGTTACAACAACTAGCATTCTTTGTGCGAGAAATGTAAAGTTCACTTTTCGAACTTGACCGCCCATAGGGCAGGTGAAGAGGAGTTATCCTGTCTAGAGTTCTAGTGCCGGGCAGCGCAGTCCCCGAATAGAAATGTATGTAACAGGCATCTCTTCGTGGAGGGGGGGAGGAGGGGGGGGGCTAAGGCCCCCGAAGAAAGTCTACAGCCCCCCCCCCCCCCCCCAAACGAAATGGAATTTATATAGAAAACATATACTTTTACCAGTGACCCCCCCCCCCCCCCCCACACCCCGAAAATATCAAGTGCCCCCCCCCCGGAGAAAAAAGTCTAGAAGAAACACTGGATGTGGATTTGAAAAGAAAAAAAAACCTTTGGAAGAAAAATTTATAAAAGCGGAAGTGATCTCCCCTAAACTTTCTCGTATATTCTTCTATTACAGTAGGGAAGGGGTGACAATATCATTGTAATCGGGCGAAAAACTGTCGAAATGTATGTTAATCATTCAGCGCAATCACGATACTTCTTCTATACTCTGTATACAAGAAAGTAAAAAGAAAAGTAATAAAACTGCCAAAATAAGAAAGAAAAATAACAGACTACACTCAGCACCAGTGAAAGTAATACTCTACATTCAGACAGCAAGCAGACCAAACATTAGCTAATTGCTTACATTATCGCTACATTATTCAAACACACGTTCACATTATCCTGGGCGGGTTACACCAAAACGTGAATTTATCTGGCAGCTTTGGCCAAACTAACTTTTATTCGCACAAAACTAGACGTAATATTATGACTGGGGAATTATTTCTGTGGCATTTTCTCTGGTTTTCTGGTTCAATAACACATTATTCAAAACTATATATATATATATATATATATATATATATATATATATATATATATATATATATATATATATATATATATATAATGATTGATGATATTAGTGACAGTCGTGTTGTTGATGATAATGTGGCAATGCTAACTTGGTGACACTACTGAGACATAATGACATGTAAGATGTGATGACATGTGGGACATGATGGCATGATGACATTTTTGACATTATAACATGATGACAGGTAAGTCATGAAGGACTGGAAAGTAATGATGCCATGTAAGACATGATGACATATAAGACACGAGGACATGTAAGACACTATGACATAATGACATTTCTGACATGTTAGACATGTATGACATGATGACATATATCACATGTAGGACATGATGGCATGAGGACATATATGACATGTTAGATATGATGACATATAGGACATGATGACATATATGACATGTACGACATGAACTCACCAGCGAGATGTCACTTTCCATGTCCTCCTGGATGCAGGTCGAGTAGTGCCGGCTCTTGCCGGACCCGATCGAGTACGTCCTCTCCCGGAGCGCCTCCGACACGAACGTCGAGCTCTCGTCACGTGTGATGCGACGGTCCCTGCCCCGGGGGCGGGGGTCTGAGCTCAACCGCTTAAAGAACCGGCTGACGCTTCCAGAACGACCGGAAGCGGAGGGGTCGTGTGAGGGCGTGGGAGGCATCGGGTAGTCTCGTGTGTTCTGGCTCGTCACGGTTGATGTCCTTGATCTTGGTTTACCAGGCTGGGTGAAGGTCAACCGGGTCAGCGCTGCTCTGACCACGGCCCTCTGTTCGTTGACGATGTCGGGGTAGAGGGTGCAGGGCGTGTCGTTGTTGACGTTCTTGAGGTGGGCGCGCCCCCCGTACTTGAGCAGGCTGCGGATGTTCTCCAGGTTGAAGTACTCCTGGCAGCAGGCGAGGTGGAGCGGGGAGCAGCCATGCGTGTCCTGAACGTTGGGCTGGGCGCCGTAACGGAGTAGAAGCTGGACAACATACGGGTTACCGTCGACCACTGCAAGATACAGACACGGTAAGTTCATCAAGTCGTCTTTGGAGTAGTGAGCTGAGAAATTAAAACCGTTCTCGACCGAAGTCTCGACTATTTCCGGTAGGTGGTTATAGTGGCTAGACCGTCCGGAGCCCGGTGTTCGGGAGTTTCCGCCTACGGTGATTAACGAAGGCCAGTCGGAACAGCGTCGAGAATGTTTGAATGAAGGAGCAGCCGGGGGATTGACGCTGAGTCTCTGGCGAGAATGAGAGTTGTCCGTCTCCGTACGGGGGTCTTCCAGGTAAAACTGGTGCTCCTGGGGCGGGACTGTGGGGGTGGGGGATGCCTGGCAAGGTTCTGGGTGCTGGAACCCCGGGAGTAGAATGGCGGGGACGGTGGGGCTGGGGGCTTCGCTGCTGCCGTATTGACTGCTGCGTCTGCTCTTGGACTGGAGGGCGGACGGTTCGTTGGGGTCCACGCCGTACTTGAGGAGGACCTTTAGGACATCCAGGGAGCTGTACTGGATGGCCAGGTGCAAGGAGGACCTGCAAATACATTAGTTATAAAGGTGTAAGCAGGACCTACAAATACATTAATTATAAAGGTGTAACCTGCAAATACATGAATTATAAAGGTGTAACCTGCAAATACATCAATTATAAAGGTGTAAGGATGACCTGCAAATACATGAATTATAAAGGTGTAAGCAGGACCTGCAAATACATCAATTATAAAGGTGTAAGCAGGACCTGCAAATACATGAATTATAAAGGTGTAACGAGGACCTTCAAATACATTAATTATAAAGGTGTAACCTGCAAATACATTAATTATAAAGGTGTAAGCAGGACCTGCAAATAAATTCACAACCAGATCAAAAGTTCAGAAAACAGTCACAATAAGCGCCATGGGAAATAAGATCTTCTGTTAATTAACTTAAGAAGTAAAATGGAACAGAGACCTAGTTAAACTTTATTTGCGAGTTGAAATCCTTAAAATACGGAACGTGCCTTTAAAATCCACAAGGCGGCCCATATATTCCAAAATATTTACATTCTCCAAAAATGAGTAGAAAAAAAAATTGAAAATTACAATTGTCGCTTTTTAACTACATTCTACTTAATTTAATTTACAAAGGCTAAATAAAAAGTAAACAAATAACAAAATCATAGATGTATATTATTCAGTCGCTGTTATTTAAATATGAAAACAAATAAATTCTAACTTTCCTAATTACGTATTTAAATTATTCACGATAATTTTTGTAAAGATTAAAATCGTGTTTCAACAAATGTACGGTATCGATACCAGAGGCGTAGACAAATATACGGTATCGATAACAGAGGCGTAGACAAATGTAAGGTATCGATAACAGAGGCGTAGAAAAATGTAAGGTATCGATAACAGAGGCGTAGAAAAATGTAAGGTATCGATAACAGAGGCGTAGACAAATGTACGGTATCGATAACAGAGGCGTAGACAAATGTACGGTATCGATAACAGAGGCGTAGAGAAATGTACGGTATCGATAACAGAGGCGTAGACAAATGTACGGTATCGATAACAGAGGCGTAGGCAACTGTACGGTATCGATAACAGAGGCGTAGGCAAATGTACGGTATCGATAACAGAGGCGTAGGCAAATGTACGGTATCGATAACAGAGGCGTAGACAAATGTACGGTATCGAAAACAGAGACGTAGACAAACGTACGGTATCGATAACAGAGGCGTGGACAAATGTACGGTATCGATAACAGAGGTGTAGACAAATGTACGGTATCGATAACAGAGGCGTAGATAAATGTACGGTATCGATAACAGAGGCGTAGACAAATGTACGGTATCGATAACAGAGGCCTAGAGAAATGTACGGTATCGATAACAGAGGCGTAGACAAATGTACGGTATCGATAACAGAGGCGTAGAGAAATGTACGGTATCGAAAACAGAGACGTAGACAAACGTACGGTATCGATAACAGAGGCGTGGACAAATGTACGGTATCGATAACAGAGGCGTAGACAAATGTACGGTATCGATAACAGAGGCGTAGGCAAATTACGGTATCGATAACAGAGGCGTAGGCAAATGTACGGTATCGATAACAGAGGCGTAGAGAAATGTACGGTATCGAAAACAGAGACGTAGACAAACGTACGGTATCGATAACAGAGGCGTGGACAAATGTACGGTATCGATAACAGAGGTGTAGACAAATGTATGGTATTGATAACAGGGGCGTAGATAAATGTACGGTATCGATAACAGAGGCGTAGATAAATGTACGGTATCGATAACAGAGGTGTAGACAAATGTACAGTATCGATAACAGAGGCGTAGAGAAATGTACGGTATCGATAACAGAGGTGTAGACAAATGTACGGTATCGATAACAGAGGCGTAGACAAATGTACGGTATCGATAACAGAGGCGTAGAAAAATGTACGGTATCGATAACAGAGGCGTAGACAAATGTACGGTATTGATAACAGAGACGTAGACAAATGTACGGTATCGATAACAGAGGTGTAGATAAATGTACGGTATCGATAACAGAGGCGTAGACAAATGTACAGTATTGATAACAGAGGCGTAGACACACGTACGGTATCGATAACAGAGGCGTAGACAAATGTACGGTATACAAAATAGAGGCGTAGACAAATGTACGGTATCGATAACAGAGATGTAGACAAATGTACGGTATCGATAACAGAGATGTAGACAAATGTACGGTATCGATAATAGAGGCGTAGACAAATGTACGGTATCGATAACAGAGGCGTAGACAAATGGACGGTATCGATAACAGAATCGTAGGCTGTGCAAATTTGCTGGTGTAAAAATGTTTGGCGTCACACAATATTGACCTACTCGGTCAAACAAACAAGTCCGTTTGTAAAGCCAGGCAAATCGCACTCCAGTCTCTGGAGGTAATCGTTTTTAGCAATTACCTCGAGTAATCGTATTCATTGAATTGATAGCGTATCGTTTGATGCTCGCTGTATCGTGGGCTTACGGGATCGTTCAACGATTACAGTGTACTTTGGATGGTGGGTATCGTTGAGTTGAAATTTAAATGAAGTTTTACTTTAAATTGACGTACAAATATGACTAAACATATAAATTAGTTTGAGAGTAAACTTGGGAAACTTAAGCTTTTGAAGGTTGGAGAAGGTTCTCTGCAAGTATTTAAGATTGAAGACGTTATATGCAATGAATGTTGTGTTGAATTTTGATACAAGTTAGGTGATATGAAAGTAGGGAAAGTTTCTTCAAGATCATCACAATGTTATTAGTTGTACTTTGACCATTTCGGTCCTTATCGTTCGCCAGAAGTTAACAAAATTACCCCAACAGGAACTTTCGGTCGCCAATGTTGATGGAATCGACCATTTTAAAGTTGGAGAATATTTTGGTTGTGTAAAGTCGCCTTGGTTGGATAGAAGTATTGTCTGGTAATTCAACTGTGCGGCCTGGACTATTGAAACATCTATGAAATTAGCTGTAACTAATAATACATTCGAAACAGAACTAAAATAAAAAAAATTAAAATAATGTATGAACTTCTAAACTGAGTCATCGCAATATTTCACATTATCTGGTATTTTTAACTATGAGAAGACATGGAAGTCATTATGTCGACATTCATTGAGGCCTGTGTGTCGTAGGTCAATGTCCTAAAGACATGTGTGTCGTAGGTCAATGTCCTAGGGACCTGTGTCTTAGGTCAATATTGCCGTGACCTGAATGTAGGTCAACATCGTAGTGACATGTATGTATGTCAACATTGACCTGAATGTAGGTCAACATCGAGTGACATGTATACTGTGGGTCAACTAATTAAGCCAACCTACTGTCCCAACATCAACCTACATTCAAAACGAGGCTGCACGTCACCCATATAATGAAACGCTCACTAGACGTCTGCCGTCAAATGAGGAAATCGGACGTCTCAATTATTGATGTCATTAAAAATGTCATTGATTCAATTATTGATGTCATTAAAAATGTCATTGATTAACCCGAGGCCCATCGATTTGTGTCAAGCTGTGATTCAAGGGTGATCGACTTGAAAGGACTTTCCACTGAGATTTGACTGGGTGATTTTAGTAGCATGTGGCCTGTTGGGTTAGGGTTAAACCACGGTTAGAGGTTTCCGGTTAGGGTTAAACCACGGTTAGAGGCTTATGTAGAGGTTAGGGTTAAACCATGGTTAGAGGCTTATGTAGAGGTTAGGGTTAAACCACGGTTAGAGGCTTCCGGTTAGGGTTAAACCACGGTTAGAGGCTTCCGGTTAGGGTTAAACCACGGTTAGAGGCTTATGTAGAGGTTAGGGTTAAACCACGGTTAGAGGCTTCCGGTTAGGGTTAAACCACGGTTAGAGGCTTCCGGTTAGGGTTAAACCACGGTTAGAGGCTTATGTAGAGGTTAGGGTTAAACCACGGTTAGAGGCTTCCGGTTAGGGTTAAACCACGGTTAGAGGCTTATGTAGAGGTTAGGGTTAAACCACGGTTAGAGGCTTATGTAGAGGTTAGGGTTAAACCACGGTTAGAGGCTTATGTAGAGGTTAGGGTTAAACCACGGTTAGAGGCTTATGTAGAGGTTAGGGTTAAACCACGGTTAGAGGCTTATGTAGAGGTTAGGGTTAAACCACGGTTAGAGGCTTATGTAGAGGTTAGGGTTAAACCATGGTTAGAGGCTTATGTAGAGGTTAGGGTTAAACCACGGTTAGAGGCTTCCGGTTAGGGTTAAACCACGGTTAGAGGCTTCCGGTTAGGGTTAAACCACGGTTAGAGGCTTATGTAGAGGTTAGGGTTAAACCACGGTTAGAGGCTTCCGGTTAGGGTTAAACCACGGTTAGAGGCTTCCGGTTAGGGTTAAACCACGGTTAGAGGCTTATGTAGAGGTTAGGGTTAAACCACGGTTAGAGGCTTCCGGTTAGGGTTAAACCACGGTTAGAGGCTTATGTAGAGGTTAGGGTTAAACCACGGTTAGAGGCTTATGTAGAGGTTAGGGTTAAACCACGGTTAGAGGCTTATGTAGAGGTTAGGGTTAAACCACGGTTAGAGGCTTATGTAGAGGTTAGGGTTAAACCACGGTTAGAGGCTTATGTAGAGGTTAGGGTTAAACCACGGTTAGAGGCTTATGTAGAGGTTAGGGTTAAACCACGGTTAGAGGCTTATGTAGAGGTTAGGGTTAAACCACGGTTAGAGGCTTATGTAGAGGTTAGGGTTAAACCACGGTTAGAGGCTTATGTAGAGGTTAGGGTTAAACCACGGTTAGAGGCTTATGTAGAGGTTAGGGTTAAACCACGGTTAGAGGCTTATGTAGAGGTTAGGGTTAAACCACGGTTAGAGGCTTATGTAGAGGTTAGGGTTAAACCACGGTTAGAGGCTTCAGGTTAGGGTAGTGTGAAGAGGTTAGGATTAAACTGTCGAGAAGTTTTCGATTACTTCAACTTAAGAAAGGGATGGCGTGGCTGAAAGTCTTGAGTTCGAATCCAGGTTCAAGTTAGTAGAACGTCCCTGAGGGTACCCAGC